AGACATAGGACTTGTCAGGAAATAAGAGCCATACAGTAATGAGGTTAACAAGTACAGTGGTCCTCCCTTATGCATACAGCATGCACTCCAAGACCCCAAGTGGAGGCTTGAAACTGGGGATGGTACTAAACCTTACAGTAGTCCCTTATTAGCCTCAGTTTCGCTTTCCTCCTTATCTGTGGTTTCGGTTCTCCATGGTCAACTATGGTTCTACTCTGGGCAACTGAAACTGAGGAAAGATAAGGGAGGACTATTGTAACATCACTTTGTGCCAGGCACCAACCTACTTTTATTTCTAACTTTCTATTGAAGTATAATAAGAAACATTCTAAGTGTAGAGCTCGGTGAATTTTTCGGAGACTGAACATACCCGTGTAACCATCACACAGCTCAAACAGAAGGATATTACCAGCACCCCAAAGCCCTTCCCAGGCTCCCTTCAAGTCCCTAACACTCTCAAAGGTGAGTCTCTAACAGCATAGATTACTTTTGCCTGTCTTTGTACATTTTATAAATGAAATCCTACAGCCTATATTATTTTTTGGCTGGCTTTCCTGACTCAGCATAGTATGGTGGCATCTGGCTCTCGATGGTTCATTCTCATTGCTGAGTAGCATGCCATCGTGTGAATTTGCCACAATTTACTTATCCATTCTGCTGTTGACAGGCATCTGGGTCGTTTCCAGTTTGGAGATATTTTATTAGTGCTGCTATGAGCAGTCTAGTATGTGTCTTTTGGTGAGCACCCGTAAGCACTTCTGTTGGATACACACCTGGAGTGGAATGCTGGGTCACAGGGTACGCATATTTTGGTGGGCTAGCATCATAGCCCCTTTATGAGCGGCAGCCTTTGAGCCAGACCCACACTTCCTCCAGAGGTCCTGAAAGATCACACTGGCACAGAAGAGAGAGCGCAGGTCTGGCTCCAATGCTTTTGCACTACTGACAACCCTCTTTATTACTTTTTCTTAAGAGACCTTTTGTTTTGAAAGATTTCTGCGTAACAAGCTACCAAACAAATGTCGTTTGCTCAACATAATTTAATTCATCTTCCAATTCTCCTATGAGCTGCAGACACATCTAACCAGCTGCAGAGCTGCTGATCCGAGAACCTGCAGAACAGAACTGGCGTAATTTCAGACAAAACCAGAGGAAGTCCAGGTTCGGGTTCACCTCTGTAGCACCCTCACAAGAACCCAGGATTTCTGTTGGGCTGTTGAAACACTGAAAATACGCCACCCCTCCCCTTTGTGATGTGAGGGGAACTTTAGGAGATGGAAAGCCCAACCCTCCACTCAAGGAAGCTAAGACCCAGACTGTGTCTGAAATCCTTTGACTTATGATCAATAAATATACATTAATGCATAAGTAATTCACAAATCATTTGGACTAGGCCTAGATCATCATTTTAAACAAAATTTCACAGCCCCATCCATTTACTTTGAGCTTGTTCTTAAATTAAGATAGGTTATATGAAGGTAGCAACGAACATTTTCCAAACTGCCACCAAGTGGCCAGAAAGACTTCAGGCCATTGCTAACACTTGGGCGGACTGGGTTCTTCCCCAACTGTCTCTCTCTTTCCGTTCTTCTCCATCTCTGTCTCTCTCTCTCTCTCTGTGTCTCTCTCTCTGTGTCTCGCTCTGTATGTATGATATACATTTATATATATCATACATACATCTCTAACATATATATAAATATATACATACATATATATTAGAGACAGAAAGATATCTCTTTATAGCTCTATCTATAAATAAAATTGGGATGTTTTTTATTAGCATTTTTCCATGAGATTAAAAAAAGTAATTTCAAAAACTTTTTAAAAAATTGCTGTTTGATACTCCATCACACTCAGTTACCATGATTAATTTAACTAATTCTCTATTTTGGGATATTTAAGCTGTTTCCAATATTTTGCCATTGCAAATAACACTGCGTGAATATGCTTGTACCTCAATCCTTGGGGACACCTCTGATATTCTCCTGAGGCTCAGTGACAAGATGTTGACTAAGACCCCCAAATGGGTTGGCTTTTCAGTCTCATTATCAAATACAGATTTATGCTGCTGCCGACAGTGTATGGGAATGTCTTTTCTGCTCATGCCGGTAATTTTCTATTACAAATAATTTTTCTCAGTTTTATAGGTAAAACACGATAGTTTGGTTTTATTGCATTTAATTGATTCCTAGTGAGGTTAAATATTTTTTAAGATTTGCTGTCCATTTGCGTTTCTCCTTATTTTGTGTTTTGTGCTCCTTTTTATTTCCCACTTCCCCACAGAAAGCCATGCTGTGCTCGGGCCACTCTTTCCCTGCTGCGTCTCTGCCTTTACCACAGAAGTCATATCAGTGTCCACAGAACTCAGCCTTGTCAAATGCTTTGCAAACAGAACATGTGTCAGAAAAACGCACACTCACAAGGCCTGCAGGTGGCTTAGCCAGCCACATCTGTCATTCCTCCGACTGGGACACCCGAATTCCACCCGGAGCTGTAAAACTCACACCTCACCCAGACTCTGGACACCATCACCCAGGGGCCGTCAGAACAGGAGGGGCTGGCTACATTACCTAATGACTTAACCAGGTGAGTGTCACGTGCTTCAGAGGAAGTGCTCCCTACTGCCTTGGGGAAACGGGCAACCACAAATCAGGTGACAATACGGCGCTGACTTATTATCCTTGTGAGAGTTTTATGTTCTGAAGTCGGCAAGGTACCCATTGCCCGATCCACGGCCGATTTGCAGGGTGGTCACCTTGGGGATGCTCAGTCCGCCTCGCTCAGCGGGAGGGCAGGCTGGGGGCTTGTAGGAACCAAGGCACCCCACAGGGCGGAGGCCTGATCCATCATGCATCGTGGTCTGGATCAAATGCTATCTTCCAGAGACATGAGACAGAGAGAGGAAGTCACCAAACAGTGGGAAATTCTTCCTCTCCGTGCGAAACTGCTCTTTCGCCTCTTCTGGCCTCCTCTGAGTTCCGCCTCCTTTAGAGGGAATGTTTGTCTGGACGGCAGCTGCGTCCTGGGAGACACAATAGAGTCATTCAAGTCAAATAGGAGTCATCGTGGAAAAGAGTAGCTTTCCCACCTTTGCTGGTGCTAATTAGCAATCAAGGCCAAGGCTGAACTCAATGTCCCATAATAAATGATGGTATATCCTTACAAGAGAATATTAGGCAGCTATTAAAAATAACGTTTTCAAAGAATTTTTATGACACTAAAAAATGCTCATGATGTGAAGTAAAATGAAAGAAAGAAAGGTGTAAAACCCACATATAAAATATAGAAAATGATCCCAATTATGTGAAAGACTAGCTAGAAATATTGTAAAATGGTAATCGTGATTATCTCTGCAGGTAAGACTATGTTTCAGGTTTATGTTCTTACTTATTATATTTTAAAAATTTCCTACATTAAGCATTTGTGACTTTTGTTTACCAAAAAAACAATCACTGATATTTTGAAAGACCAGATGTGATCTGCCCCAGCCCCCCGGGGATTTCACAAGTTCCTATTTGTTACTCAATTCTGCTTTCTCTATGCCAGTGTGAGGAACGGGTGTGCTGTGATGGGAACAAGGCAACTGCCTTCCCAGAGGATGAAGACACGGCTTAGTAAAGATGCTAGCTAGCACTCGCCCTCAGTCCCACATCTTCCTATCCTCCTGTCTTCCTTCCTCCTGCCCTTCCTCCTCCCTTCCTTCCCTTCTTTCCCTTTCTCTCTCTCTCTTCCTTCCTTCCTTTCCTTTCCCTTTCTTTCTCTCTCTCTTTCTCCCCTTCTGCTTCTTTCCTTCCTCCCTCCTTTCTGCTCTCTCTCTTTCTTTCAAACATTTTTTTCCCCTTGAGCCCTAGGAAGTCCTTCGAGAAAAGAAAATCGTAGAACCCAGACCAAAATCAAATTTTCAACAAGCTCAAAAAGCTAGTTGTACCAACGATGACGGCGGGGTGGGAGGTGGGGGGGTGGGGGGGGTGAGGGGTTGGTTTGTCAGCTCTTCTTTTGGAAAAAGCTCGGTGGATCCAGCGATTGCCCTGCCCTGGTTGCACTGCTTCCAGCGGGCAGGTTTCAACTCTGGGTGCCAGGTTGAAAAAAGAATATTGAAAAGACTGCCTTCTGCAGAATACAAAATAACAATAACATTGTCACCAACAATATTAGCAGCAAGACCACTACCACGTACTGAATGCTTATCATGTGCCAGATACTGGACCAAAACATGACCTGTTGTCTTATTTGATCTTTAAAACAACTCTTCTACAGATGAGAAATCTGAGTTTAGCGAGGTTAAGTAATGAGGTGGGTATATCTTAATCTCTATAAATTTCCCTGGGGAAAGGAGTGAGGAGATGCCCCAGGGCACCTTCCTCCTCCTCTGCCAGTGGGGCCCTCTGGACCACAGCCTTGGCTGCTGGGATTGGAGAGGCTGGCTGAGAGAGTTGCATTACTATGGGGATATTTGTATGAATCTTTCTGACCAAGAGTGACAACCCACCTCACTTTAGAATAACATAGGTTTATGTGGGAAGATTTTAGTGATGTGACAGGTATGGCTCGCTCATGGGAAGTAAGAGGTTGAATGCTCTAGAATCAGGATGTGGGCTCTCAGGTGGCCCTCAGCTGCATTCACTCTGCACTCACCCTTGACTGCGGTTTGCCTGATTCTGGTGGTTTTGATGGCTTGAGATGCCAAGCATTGTTCAGACCCGTGGGGCCGGTGGATGACTTTATGGGTCATGGGGAATTGGGTCCTTTCTTACAGTTGGCCAGGACTGTGACAGCAGTAGCCTGGGCCTCACCAGGGCAGCGTCCCCATCAGTGGGTGGGGGGCCCAGCAGGGAGAAGGGGGGATGCTTGTTGGTCGAATGGACTCTTTGGAAGTGGTGTTGTGAGGACACTGAGAATCCTGGACAAGTTTATCCCATGTATTATTACACAGTCATACATGATTACATAATTATGACATATTACCTGTGCTACTAATATATGGAAAAAATGCAAACTATATAAAATATTGTTTTGAATAAAACAAAATCAGTTCATTCCTGAAGTCATGGGCACAAGGTTAACTATTACCGCATGCATCATGTACGTTTCTTCTAAAATAGCGGCTGGAGCTTGAGGACATCTGCCTCCAGCCACAGCCTGGGAAGTTGACCCAATGGGGACTTAAAATTGCAAAGGTGAATTCTTCTTCCTGGGTCAGAGGTGGTTCAGGGTCACATGCTCTTGAGGTCCCTGAAGACCATGTGGGCTGCATTGCGTCCAGCGGCTCCCATGACACCTCCTCCTGGAAGGGAATCTCCCGTGAACCAAAGCTGTACTCAAACCCCCCGCCCCGGGAGTGGGCAGGGCCAGGGCCCACAGAGGAGCCAGCGACAAAGCAGAGCAGGGATTCTTGAAGGGTGGTGCTAGGGCCCTGGGCGTCGGAACCACCTGGGACAACTATGAAGACAGATGCTGGGCTCCCCTCCAGGCCTCCTGCATCAGAGCGCCAGGGAGAGGGCCGGGCGCATGGTCTGAGCAGGTGCCCCCCCCTCAGTCTGAGAGCCAGGGTGCTGGCTGGCGAGACTCAGCACGTGAAGCTAAAACACGAGACTAAGGGAGAGGGGCAAGATGTGGAAGTCCAGACCCTTTCTGGGAGGCTGGGGCCCACAGAGCTCAGAGAAAGTGTCAATACGACATGGCAGCCTGGGCGAGGTCAGCGAGGCCTGGAATAGGCACAGGGAAGCATTTTAATATTGAGAAACTCAACTTGATAGATCCTCAGTGGTCTAAAATACAGAGGGGGAATTTAGGGACAGGGGTCTCTCACAACACAAAACTGGAATTTGGAGAGATGCCTCTGGGACGTATCCTCAAACCTCAGCGGGGAGGTGTGAGCGGCCCCGAGGGCTGTGGCCGGCCTGGCAGAGGCCGCCACTGTTTGTTTACCCGTGCACATGGGTGGCCTGTTCTCGTGGGATCTCCACGCTCCTCTCCCTCTCTCCCTGCCTCCCCCATCGTTTATCCTCTTCCCCTGTCTGCCAGCCTCTGATGTCCAGCCAGCTCTCACAGCCCACACCGTGTACTGGGACCGAAGGTCACTCACCAGGATGGGCCCCACTTCCGCAGAGATACAGGCCCCGGAGAGGGCAGCGGTAGCTGGAGTGCAGGGGCACGGGGCGGGCGAAGTAGAGCTGGTCCAGGACCATGGCGCAGTGGAAGATGTTCTGCGGGAGGCAGGGCCACAGTCGTTAATGTAGGAGCGCTCGGGTCTTGACTGCTTTTGCGGGTTTCTCCCCATCCCCTGTTCTCTGAGGAAGGTTCTTCTCCTTCCAGGATGTTTTCTTGGGTTCTTATGGTGCAGAAAGGGGAGGGGAAGAGAGAGTAGGTGCATGTGCTGGGGCTGGGGGTGAAGTTTTCTAGAGGCATTTTTTCAGGCAGAAAGAAGGGTAGGGAGCATCTTCAGAGTGTGAGGAAATGGAATGGAAAGCAAAGGGAGATTTGAAAGGTTTTGCTGTGGACTATGAATCTCCTTCACTCTGTTTGAAAAATTGAGGAATGTGACTTATTTTGCCTGCTGGCACATGTTTATTTGGCCAAGACACCCATCTGAGCCTGGGCCCTAGGAGTCCAAGCTCCAGCAGAATCCTAGTAAACGGCAGACAAGGGGCACTGGGACCCGAGCTCGGTTCTGCTCCACTGGCCTGGGTCAGACCAGCCGAGGAGGGAGGCGTGTGGGATGGGGGGAGGTCAGAGTGACAAGAAGACCAGCATCTGCTGGCAGTGACCACAGGGATGTCCTTCCTGCTGCCCCTTCAACATGTCCCAAACTGAGCTCATCCTCCTCCTTCAAGTCTGCTCCTCTCCCGTCTTCCCTGCCTCAGTGGATGACACCACCTCCCTCTCCTCCGCCTCCAGGCGGGATCCTTCACATCACCTCCACCCTGACCTCTGCACGCACACTGCTTCCAAGACTTCTCAATTCTGCCCGCCCCACGCCTTCTGCATCCCTCCACCCCTTTCCCTGCGTGCTGCCTGGCCTCCTTCACTCTACATCTGGACCAGCGCTGTCCAATAAAATGTAACGGGAGCCACACGTGTAATTTTAGATTTTCCAGTCACCACATTAAAAATTCAAAAGGAACTGGTGAAATTATTGTCCATGATATATTTTATTTAACCCAAGAGATCCAAAATGTGATCATTTCAACATGTGATCAATATAAAATTAAGGAGACATTTTACTTTTTTTTCGTACGAAGCCTTTGCAGTCTGGTGTGCGTTTCACATCTGCAGCACATCACATGTCGGCCTAGCCACAGGCAAGTGATCAATAGCCACATGAGGCTAGTGGCTGCCATGTTGGGCCTGGCCTCCTAACCAGTCCCCCTGCCCCCAGGCTCAGTGAGTGTGTGATATTGAAGGGAAGTCCGGGGACGTGCTGCCATAAGGAGGGGAGCACCCTCTGAAGGAAGCCAGATGGGAGAGGCTGACCCGGACGTCCAGGTAGAAGGGCCACAGTCCTGGTGACCTTCTCAGCAGCCCGTGTGTGTCTCCTCACTCCTCCCCCACTCCCTAGAGCTGACCATTTTCTGTCCCCTCTCCGCCGTGGTCTCGGCCACTGTCCTCCCTCCCCGATGAAGGCTGGGTGTGGAGGGCACAGGCCAGGGAGTGGGGGTGCAGGCAGAAGAATGGGAAGAGGGACCCCCAGGCGTGTACTCACCCCGCCAGGAAGCCCAAAGATTCTCTCCAGGTCAGGCGGAGTGAGGATGTCTCTGCCCACCACGGAGCTCTTGAAGCTGGGGGCGTAGGCCTCGAGGCAATCGAACACTGGGTGCCGAACAGCAGGAAAGGAGACGGTGTTGGGAGGAAGGAGAAGAGGCGTTATGATGGTGCAACTTGGCAAATTTACTAAAATTCATTAAATGTACACTTAAAATGGATTTATTTTATCATATGCAAATTATATCTCAAGCAAAAAACAAAAACAGTCCACAGGCAAATAAATAATTCAGTACAAAGGCCTATGGGCCTCAGGCTAGTCCAACCCCCAACTCTTTCCCATCTCCTTACCCCAACCCTAAACACCAAGTTGCTTCTCTCCCCTTGAATATGTAAAGCTTTCTTCACCTTGTTGCTTTGCTCAAGTTGTTTCTTTTGATGGAATGCCCTTTATTCCTGGCCAACTCCTATTCATTCCTTTAAAACCCAGTTCAAATATCCCTTCCTTTGGAAAGCTCTCCCTGTCTCTGGCTCACTGCTTTCTCCTTTGGCTCACACGGTATGTTGTACTGTGAGATTGCCTTCTTTATTAGTCTCCCCCACTGGACTGCGAGCACCTTGAGGGCAGGAACTGTGTCTTTTTGTCTTTCTTAGCCCAGTGCCTGAGCCCAACACAGGATTCACGGTGTTGACTTGGGTTCCCTTGTGTTGACTTCTCTCCCTTTGGGACAGAACTTGCAGGTGTTAATTCTGAACGAGGCAGTCGGGAAGGGAGGGGTCCATTCAGGCTGCACGGCCACTCTGGAGACAGGAGGGTCTGGCCCTCTTTACCTCTGTCTGCATAGGCGTTCCGCTCCTGCTGGTCCCAGACCTTGCCTCCAGCCAGGGTGTAGGGAGTGTACTGAGTGAAGAGGGAGATGACATGGCAGCCGGGGGGAGCCAGGGTGGGGTCCAGCGAGGAAGGGATGCAGAGCTCAATCACAGGCCTGCCACACAGGGAGGAGAGAGGGTCAGGTCTGAAGAGCAGCAGCTGCCCGAGGGAAGGGCCTGGGAGCCGCTCCGAGATGCTGACATCTCAAAAGGAAGGCCTGGGATGAGAGGACGCCAAGGCCGGGCAGATTATCTCTGCAAGGCCACGGTGGCTGTTTGCCTGCATGGGCTCAGTGATCACTAGGACGGTCCAGGCCACCCCTGGGGAGCTCCCCCAGCCCCTCTGAATGCGTGGCCTGTCCCTGCCTTCCCCCACCACACAGGCTGCCCTCTAACCAGGGGCTCAAATGTCTCCAGGGTCCAGACAACACGAATGAGCGAAGGGGCCAGGCCTGAGAGCAGGAGCTCAGGCGGCCAGATTTCAACCCCGCTCACCCGGCCTGATTCCCTTTTCCTGGGCAGGCCGAGCACAACAGAGCTGCTGGGGCTGCCTGACACCCAACAGAACTGCAAACTGTTTCCTGCCCCTCCCCCCACCCTTGCCTGCAACACCTGTTCTACTTGGAGCACATTTTTCCTCCTATCTCCAAATACGCCCATCCTTCGAGGCCAAGTGGAATGCCCCTTCTCCCTGCATCCCCCACTTGCAGTTTCCCCTGAACTTGGACATCCACTAAGCATTTCAAACGTCACTTGACCAACCCGAATGCCAGGTGTCCCCTAAACCCTGTTCCTCCTACACACCATCTTCCCTGTTCAATAAAGGGAAGCACCATCTTCCAGCGGCTCCTCCTTTTTGCTCACACCCCACTTCCCATCCAAGTATCCCGCCACTTCTCCTCGCTTCTGCTGCCCCACCCGGGTCCAAGCCACTGTCCTCCCTCCCTTGGACTCTGCAAGAGTAACCAATTACCACAGGTGCCCTTTTTCTCCACACAGTGGCCAGAGTGGCCCTTCTAAAATATAAGTCAGGCTCTGCACAAACTTTCCTGGAGTAAGGGCCAGGAGCCATCGACAAGGCCCGGCAGGATGTAGCAGCTGCAGCTTGGATGCCACTTCCCACCCTTCGCTCCCAAGTTCTCTTTCTCCAGTCACTCTGGCCTCATCCCTGTGCCTCCAACACAGCAGCACACTCCTACCCCAGGGCCTTTGCACCTGACTTTCCCTCTGTCTGGATGTTCTTCCTCAGATACCCACAAGACCTATATTCTTGCTTCCTTTGGGTCTCTGCTCAAACGTCACATTATCAGAGAGGCCTTTCCTGACCTCCTTATAGACTGGCAAACCCTCCCTTCCCCTGACCTATTCTTCTGCATGCCCTCAGTGCACATTTGTTGACTGTCTTATCTCCCAACATAGAAGGGCAGTGACCTGAGGGTAGAGGCCGTGTTGACTTTGCTTGCTGCTCTGTGCCCAGGTCCCTGAGCTAAGCCTGACCCAGACTTGGGCCCCAAAATATTTATGAAAGGATAAGCGGACTTTACCCTCTACCCTTCTCTCAGGGCACACAGCCTCTTCACCTCACGCTATAAACATTTGTGTGCCTGTCCTGTGACAAGCTTTTGTCTGTTTCATGCCCTGCCGACTCCCAATTCCCTCATCTTGTACCTAAGACAGAGCCAGGCACAGAATAGGTTTTCAACATGTCTTGGTGGACAGCTGACAGTATGGAAAGATGCTTGTTCCTGTAACCTCCCTGCCTGTTCCCAGAAGGATGGAGATACAGCTGCAGTGGCAGGTGGGAAATGCTTTTAGGAGTTTTGCATGAAGGCAGCTTATCAGAGATAAGAATAAGAATACGGAATGAGGTGACGGTGTGCCCTCTGATGGGCTATGGGAGCTGAGAAACTCCTGTTCTCTCCCAGGAAGCATTTTCTCCAGTTCTTCCCAAATCCCAGCGTGTTCTCCCTGCGGTCCTCTGCCCCTTCTGCTAACCTGTGACATGTGCCCAATGTATCCTGCTCTTCACGCCTTCCCTGCCCTGGCCCACAGAGTCCTTGCTGGGGTGCACTTTCTATCCTTAGAACTTTGGGACAGATTTAGGCAGATCCTAAGTCACCGTGAATGTTTGACCTCAGGAGGCAGAGGCAGTCCCATGTCTGGACAGTCACCCCCACCCCCTGGCCATGTGTAAGAATATCCCAGGGACACCAAGCCCAGGGTCCACTCACCTGCGGGAAGGCAGGCCACCCATGGCATCTTCAAAGGCCTGATGGAGGAGGAGGGTGTTTTCACAGTTCAGGTGGATGGAGCACTGGTGATGGGGCAGCGGCTGGCCGCTGGGAGCATTGGGGGCTGCCAGGAAGTCAGGCAGCCTGTCCACAGCCACTGAGGGACCAAAGAGGAGGGTCAGGGTCCAAAGGCCTGTGTCCTCAGCCCCCCAGGATCCTCTTTCTCTACCCATCGCCCTGCTCACCCAAGTGGTGGACTGGGAAGAAAAACTATGAGAAAGTGTTCCACCTTCAAGTCGGGGGGAGGCTGGAGGTCAGGGAGTAGATATGATGACGTAGGCCAGGTTTTCCCAGATTTGGAGATTTCTCACTCGCATAATGTCAAAAGAGCTCTGCAGTCTGGGGTGTCTCTTACCATTGATCTTGGTAACAGGGGACTGGGTGTCTCTTACCATTGATCTTGGTAACAGGGGACTGGGTGTCTCTTACCATTGATCTTGGTAACAGGGGACTGGGTGTCT